TGATCCGGGTCCTAGTTCCAGGCTGGTGTAGTGTTCATTCAACAAAGTTGACTATATCTTCCTATACTGTCTTTTTCCACCTTCCTTCAGCTATACAGGAGCAGAGTATATCGTAGTCATTGGCTTTCCAACCTTGTTGTCTGCTGCGTTGGTCAACTCTTTGCAGACTCTGCGTGTGCTTTGCCCCGCTTTACCCACTCAAATGTTTACTCATCCTGCCGCTGCTGCACTTATATTTAATGAAAAAGAAAAAAATGAAGGCGCTTTATTATTAAATTACGCCCTGCTCCGCTCGAACTTGCGCTTGACATAAACATAAACTTGGCGCCCTTTGTGCTGGGCACAAAGCAGCAGCAGCAGCAGCAGCAGCAGCGACGGCGGTGAGTCCTGCCCCGGCCAAGTAATGTATCTTGGCCGCCGGCTAAGCAACACAACAAAAAACACCTTTAATATTTTCATTATGAAGTCATTCAGCGCGATTATGAACGCGTGACCCCCGAGGCGACTAACAGCGTCCAAAGCACAGGATACAAGTCCGCCCGCCCGCCGTCCTAATGAACAACAACAGGACAACACTTCAACTTGGCGGCTGCTGCTGCTGCTGATGAAAGTGGCTCAAATGCCGGCAGAAGGCGGCTGGAAGCTGGAAAATCAGCAGCAGCAGCAGCAACAGCAACCGCCTCAGTGTGGAGCTTTTTGAGCTGAGGTAAATTACAATTTTGTTTATAAGTGGCCGTCGCCCTGGAGGAGGGTCTTGTTGCTGGCCAAGTGCAGCTGTACCCAATAATCATAATAATTGCGCCATGGGCGTCAACGTCGTCAACTTTGCCAGACGCCAACGCGGCCGACAACAATTGCTTATAAAGTGCGTGTGACACATTAACGCAAAAAAAAAAATAGAGAAGAGAAAATGGGAAAAAAGCGCGGAAAAGTGCTAAGGAAAAAGGCAAATAAAATGGGCGGCGAACTTCAAAAGAAATAAAAATAAAATGTTTGAAAGAAAAGTCCTTTAATGCCGTGAATTTTACGCGGGATTTCTATAAAGTGCAGCGCCCAAAACGAAGCGGGGGCGACTGCCCAGTTCCTCCAGGCGGGGGTCCTGCGGTTTGTGCGTCGCACCAAATTGAAAATGTTCGTGCGTAAATTGACTATGCGACAGGGGTGTATACGCACATAGGCAAATCAGCCAGTGCCCCGAAAATTGAAATGGAAACAAACCGAAGCGGCCAGTTTTCAGCTTTCAGTCCTGTTCACCTCATGTCCGGGCGGCCACTTTTTCAAATTGAATTTCTTGGAGTGCTGTGTAGAGCGTAAGCAGCGGAAGCAAATTAAAAAGAAATTAAGCCAATTTGCCTGGGCACAGGATGCGGCTCGGTTTCAGCTCCAAGTGCCTTGTTGTGGCTCGTAAATCTTTGGCCCATAAATACCAGGAGCTCCTGGCTGGGCTGCCCAGGCCCGCATCACGTCTCGCTTGGCCGCCGACATCTTCATTTCGGCGTGAAATTCTTTAATCTCATTCAATTCAATTAGTTCGAGTTGACTAGTTAATGCCGCGCGAACAGTCCGCGAATGTCCTTTTTGCCAGCTGCCCGCTTAGGTGTGCCGCAGTCCCTGTCGAACTCCCGCTTCCCTCTCCTGCTCCTAGCCGAGTGGTTATGTCGTTTTGGTGCTTATGCCTTCTTTTTGTCACTGCGCATTAACTTTTGAAATTTATGGGCCAGTTGGGAGCGGCAGCAGGCGAATTTGTGTGCGATTATTTTCAAGACCAATTAAGAGAACGCCAAAACAGATTCGGGTTTTCGGAACAACTTGAACACATGCACAAATTCATCTACTTAAATAATTAACGAGTCCGAAAAGCCAATGTACAATGAGTATTAGGACTCAAAGTTCAGATCAGGTACCTGAAATGTGGAACTTTTGAATCAACTGAAAATGATGTCGATACTCGATACAAGAACTATTTAATTATTGTTAGTCTACCAGAAGAAAAAAGCCGACATTGTCTGGGTAAAATGAATAATGTCGGAAAATGCACGTTGATCATATTAATTTGTACAGATATTGCCTCAATTGCACAAAAGAAAAAAGAAGCAACTAATAGATTTATTTTTAAAACACATTTTCTAATTTTAATAAAAATAAATAAATGAAATACTTTATATTTCGTCTTCACTAGGGTTTGATCTCTTAGCTTCGTGCTTAGTGTTTTGATATTTACCCCACCTTGCTAGGCAACCCGTTGCCTAAGCCCTGTCAAAAAGTATATCCGACAGCATTGTAGCTAATATTGATACTTAATTTGATTTTATTCTACTTAAAAAAAAAAACAAAGAAATACAAAATTGCTGGTGAATTTGAACCGGCCACCTCTCGCTTGTTAGCTGAAAACTTTATTGAACCTATGGATAGTATATGTCTAAGACTAGCGGGAATATCACGGTTAAATATAAAATTTCATTAAGTTCCAGCCCCTCCAACTCCACGTCTATTTGGAAATATATTTAAAGTCCATCGAATAAAGACATATCCATCGAATTAAAAAACAAAAGTTGAAATCAACTCTTTACACCCATGTTAGTCTTGTGGTGTGAATCTTGTAGCTGAATAATAAACTTTTGTTCTTTAAACCTTTGACCTGCATTTTCCAACGAAGAGCGGTGGATTTTGTGCAAAAAGTTTCAAATAAATGTTCACAAAAAGATTTAAAAATGAGTTTGAAACCGATCGGATGGTAAACCGAAAGCTGAACATTTTCCGCCAAATTAATTAAACTGCGGTTGGAATTTCCAAAATTGCACGTGCTCATTATATTTTTATGTTGAAAATAATTTCAAGTCCGACCGGATGAAACTTAGAACTTCATCCAATCAACTTCTAACCCGCGCTTATCAACCAAGGGGGATAGATTTTGCGAACGGTATAAGACACAATTTCACAAAGTTCTTTGAAAAGGATTTTGAAGCCGATCGAAAGGTAGACAAAAACCTTTCTTAAAATTATTTTTCGGTAATTAGAGTGGAATTTCCAAAATCGCTAAAACACGAATTCATTGAACTTTTAAGTAGAACTTTGAAATCTTAAGCCGAGGAATGTGATACACGTCTCAAATTGATCGCCAGTCAGTCAGTCATGCATTTAGTCAGTCAGTCAGTCGATCAGAACAAACGCATTTTTATATATATAGATTTTGTACATAATACCAAAATACTATATGCTGCTTATACCCTGTAAAGCTTATGATGTATGCCGATTTATTGCTGTATATGAAAGTGTAAATTTTATATAAAATGAACACACTCACATATAAATTTATTTCAATATGTTACGAGTAGACAACGAGCCGCCCCATTTTGATATGCCCTGCTGAAAGTGTACAGAGTGTATAGAATATATATAGATAATATCAGAATGGGAAGGCTGGTTGATTCTTAAATAAATTTTGTGGCTCCCCGTAGCAGCTCTTGTTGTGGTTGTTGTTTCGATTGAGGGTGATTAAGTAATTTTCGCATTTTAAGCTAAGCTACATGTTATGTTTAGATATATATTTATATTGGGGGTTCTGGATCCACAGTTTGGTGGCTGCCACCAGGCTGCGAATCATTCAACTGCTCCGGTTCGCCATGCGGCGTATTCGGCGGAGAGGGCTGACTCTTGCGGGGCTTGGCATTGCCAAAAATGCTGGCCGCCTGCTTGGTCTCGGCCAGCGCATTGATCGGTTCGGTTACGGTGCGCGGCTGTAGCACAATCTTTGGACGATCATCGTCGTCGAGATTGGAAAATGGTGGGCTGGTGCCTCCGCTCTGCGTTTGGTTATACCTTTCATTCGGATTGTAGTGACCGCGACGATCTCGTGTCCGGTTCTGGCCGAAGTTCGAGTAGTGGCCATTGTCATTGCTGATGCTTCGTTGGCGCGGGGGTCCGCCACGCCTGTAGTTGTTGTTGTTGCGATCATTATATCTGGGCGAGTAGTGTGGACAGATAAGTGAAACATTGCTTCACTATAACATGCTTACCGATTATTGTTATAGTTGTTGTTGTTTGTGTAGTGCGGAAAGCTGCGACTACTTTGAAAGCTCGTCGATGATATGTGCGGCTCCACGCCCTGCCTGGGACTGCCCAGGCTGGACGTGTCGTGGCTGCCGCCGCCGAGGGATCCAAAATCGCTGCTGTTGCTGCCGTCGTTGCCCTGATAGCCGTCGTTATTATGGTGGCCCCTACCTCCGCCGCCGCTGCCACCTCCGCTACCGCCTCCGCCGGCGCCACCGCTGCCGACGCCTCCACCGCTGCCACCGCCACCGCCACCCCTTGCGCCACCACCTCTTCTCTCGCCACCGCCACGCCCGCCGCGATAGCCGCCTTGCCGCGGGCTGCCCTCCTGTCTGCTCATGTGAAAGTTTGTGTTGGACGAACGATTGCCTACCGGACGACCTGGGCTGTTTTGCTTGCGCGAATATTGGCCCTGGTAGCTTTGGGAGCCAACACTATTGTCGCGTCGAAAGTTGCGGCGCTGGTTGTGATTGCCGCCACTGCTGGACGCAGCTCCTCCGATGGCGCCACCAGGGCCGCCCTGACGCCGATGATCGGCAATATCGATGCGCAGCGGAGCCGACAAATTGTCCAGTTTGATGCGTCCATTGCGGGATAACGCACGCTTTAGCTGTTCCAATGTCGTGAATTCCACGTAGCCGTAGCCCTTGAACTCGTCCGTCTCCCGATCTTTGATCAGGCGCACGCTCTTTACTTCGAAATCATCGAAAATCTTCATAACATCGCCCTGGACGAGACCCTTGGGCAGGTTGCCAACAAAGGCAATGTATGGCGGATCGGTTGGCACTTCCCTGTTGCGTTCCCGAAAGTCACGGTTGCGATTGTGAAAGTTACGATATTCTTGGGAATTGCCACGATAGTCACGGTCATGATTGTTGTTACCTCTATCGTTGTTTGACCGATCTGCCATATTCTACGAGCTTATCAGTATTTAAACAATATATTTTTAAGTCCGGAGCTCGTATTCCCAGACGCTGTGGAAACGGTCTACGAGAGACATTGGAGTTACTTTGAATTGACATTGCTTCAAAACTCACTAGATCCTATATGTTCCAGCATAGCATTTATATTATTTATTTCTGTTTTTGAATGTTCTCTCCGAAATATTGTGAACATCCTGGACACACATCTATGTATATTATTAAGCTTGCCAGCCTGTATTTCCTATCCAAATTCCACGCAAAATGGGGCAATCTCAGGAGGAATATCGTTCGTAGTGTGCGACACAATTTGTGGTAAAGCCAAGGTAAATTACAAATGAGAAATGTTACCGCCTGGTCACCATCCCCATGGCTTTCGCCTTGCTCCTGCAGTCCGACCAACTAGAAATGCACGGAAAAACATGTGTAAGCAGCGGAGTAAATGGCTCCATCTCCAGATTCAGCGCTTGTTTGTGTTATGGATACTAAAAAGTAAAACAACGGCGACGTTGACGACGATGGCAAGTACATGAAAAAGTCAACAACAAATAGTGAGACCAAGCAGCATCAGCATCAGCACCAGCAAGAACAACAGCAACAACAACAACTGTTTTGGGGGCAACAAGAACAACTAACGCATTTTGTTTGCACGACGAACTCATGACTCATTTTTGTACATTTGTCAAAATTTTTGCCATACATCATTTTAAACAGTGCGCGACATCGGCGAGGCCAAGGGGCAGGACCAGAGTCGTTGTGGGTACCAGTTGGAAAATTATGCACTGCCACCAGCAATGCCAACCGAGCCACAGTGGTCAGAAAGTGGCGAAATAACGCAAGGAGCAGAAAATTAAACAGTATTATAGTAGTACAAAATATAATAGCATGAAATCAATAGCACGTTAAATAGTAAGTCAGAAAAGAAAATAAATTATTATTATAAAATATAACTAAATGGCTTAAAGAGCAGCCTATATAAGCATATATAAGTAGATCACAGAGAAGATAATTTGAATCTTTTCGAGCTACTCTACTCATTATACCTGTTTTGAAACTTTTTTTTTCTCAAACACAGCTTTTAAACACATAGAACTGCACTCTGGTATGCTTGTAATTCTCAACAAGTTAAAACTTCGATTAGGTCTTTTGAATCCTAGCGTCCATGCAAAGTCTGTTGATGATGGCACCGCGAGGATGTCATTTGATAAGGAAAAACAATTGTTTTGAAACTCACCTTTTCTGGAGCCTGGCCTCAGTGTGCCTTACAGCTTTGGCTTGGCGGGGGGGTGTGTGGAGGTTGGATTCGGCACACGCCAACGCATGCTAAAAGATAAATCGTCAGCAACACGGAATTAAAAACTGATGTAGCGATTAATTTATCACTCACTGGCAGAGCAACAAGCAGCTGCAAGAAGAGTTGCCAGCTACTGGCAATATTTAACTAACAAGTTGCAACTGTGTGGGGCACAGGGCACAGTTCCAGTGGCACAAACAGTTTCAGTGGCATCTTTAGAAGGAGCTACGTAGCTGAGCTTCGAACCGATGCGGACAGTAAATAAATTACGAGCAACAAATAAACGCGCTCGGCTGCATCGATGGACAGTGGCAAAGCAAAGGAAAACAAAAAGCCGAGCAAAGGCAAAAGTAAAGAGCGTAGCGAAACGAGAAATGTGGACAAACAAAGACAAGAAAACGGAACCGGAAACGCTTTCAGCTGTCGAATTTGTATGAGCTGCTTGCTGCGTGCCGCCTGCCCGCCAGCTCCCGCTGGAATGCCAAATGCCATGTTCATCCTGTCTTAGGCCAACAGCGAGCTTTGCTGCCCTGCCCCATTCGTAAGTGTTCAATCATTTGATTGCTGCAACAATGCAACATCAGCAGCGGCAACGGCATCGGCAACGGCAACGGCAATGGAAAAAGAAGTGAAACACCGAAAAGGATTTATGGTCATCGATCAGAATTAATGAAGATTTTGTTTTAGTGTCCTGACAAAGCTCTACCATGCCACGACTTGGTCAGCGTGGGTCAGGGTTGGTGTACCAGGGTAGGGCAGTTCGGGACTGGAGTAGGTATTCCGCTTCAAATGGAGCATTTGTTGCTAATCGTTTTTTTCCAGGCTGAATATCGCTTGAAGCACTTGTGACCGAGTACTAACCATAACTGCTTGAGTATTACACTACATTAGCGAAATTAAATTGATTTTGTTCTGCGCCTGCTTAGATTTTTCCAAGCTCTGCTTCTTTCAACTTATTTTTTTTCGATCCCCTTGCAACCCTGGCGCTTCACATGCTCGAGAGCTGTTGATACTCGCATTTCACCACCTTTTAACTCTTATTAGGGCAGCGATTGTCTTTCTTTTTCTCTCTCTCTCTCTCCGTCCCGCTTTTCTCTTACTTCTCCCTCGCCCTTGCCACTTTTACTGGCTCGTCATAATGCTGCCTTTGGCTTGATTTATGCTGCAGCGCCCACAAGTATGCAGCGTAAATATTTTTATGACCCAATATATGAACCCTGCCCGGGGCTGCCCCCGCCACCACCTACCCCTGCCCATCTGAACAACCCACCAGTGCACTTGTGTCTCAACAGCCTCACATATGTATCTGTATAAGTATAAGTAGACCAGGAGCAGTGGCCCACACTAATCATATTAAATGAAATTCATACGTCGCCGCATTTATGCGATTTACTCAGGGACTCACGAGCCACTAGCGAGGGTTGCTAAAACGTTTCGTATAGCGGGCAATTGTTGTTGTTTCTCTTATTCTTGTTGTTGTTGTTGTTGTTGTTGCTGTTGCCATTGTTGCTGGCTGGCAACATTTTTGTTGTCGCTTAAACTAATTGAGTGTTACAAATTTTATGTGCAAAATCTTTAAGCTAAATTGAAATTTGTTTTGTTTGCCTTTGGCCTGGTCTTGTTGTAGTTTCTGTTGTTGTTGTACATTTTTCACATATGATGCGGGTTGTGTATGAACCCATTTAATGTTATGTGCACATTTCGTTCTTGCTATCCGTAAGTGCGTTGAACCATTTTAAAATTAAGGTATGCTTCTCACTTTAAAAAATTGCCTACCAACTGATAAATACGTTGGTATGACTAACTTATAAGAAAAATCGTATTTATTCAAAGCCTAATATGCTCAACCTCACATACTTTTGTATGTAGTGTACTGGATTAATATTTTGTTCTTAATAGCTCTAACCTAGATCTTAATTGCCTTAACAAATATTCTTATTATATATTTTATTGCCATCTATTTATTAGCATAGTAGGAGGAAGACAGACATAAAGATAATATAAAGAAGAAAATAAGTTGTCAACGGCTTAGAGTAAGTACTGGAAAAATAAAGAGAAATAGAATAAGAGAAAAAGATAGTGTAGAAAACAGAGAGAGTAATATGGCGAGAGAGAGAGTATTAAGAGAGAAAATTACTGTAAGAGTAGAAGGAAGATAAAGTTTTTTGGAAGAAGATGTTGTTATAAGTCTAACTCTAATTTATGAGAATCGCAGAGAAGAGCGTAATTTAAAATAAGGTTTTTTTTTGGAACTGGAATACACATACATGCATGCATAAATGCAAACAGGAATCATTATATGTAAAAATGAAGTGAACTTGGTCTGTGTTTGGTATAGGAGACCAAACATAGCGAGTGTTACCCGGCCTTGCCCGAAACGATCTTTAATTCTTAAGATTTAAAGCAAGCCGGGCTGTGGAATGATTTAAATCCTCTACAACTTTGAGCTCCCATTTTCGTAGTAGATTTACGAATTCGGTGAATAACGTGTATTTTGTTAGAAAATAAGTTAGCGGCCGATCGTATGGTAGGCATAAAAGATTATTGCGACGGTTTTCCACGAATTTTTCACACCTGATTGTCAATCACTAAGTCAGCCTCCTTAATATATATTTTTCTAGGTTTTTATGACTAAGGTAACCCGCTCTTAAATTGTACATCTGTTTTTTTTTATTTGCGGTCATATATTTGGAGCAATTTATTTCGTATCTTTGGTTTATCTGTTTCCATGGGCAACGTTCATGACTTTTGGCTTGAATTGATAATTGCGTCGCCGGCAAAACGCATTTTTGTCCAATTTACATAATTTATGATGGCAGATTTTTGCGGCCCACGCTCCAAGATTGGGCAAGAAAATTGCATACAACTCGAAACTCGAAACAATTTGGTCAGATGATTTGTGCCATTGCAGCGACTTGGCTGACGATAAGATCCAAAAATTTGGCTGCTGTCTCGGCTCGGATGCATGGGTTATAAACAAATAGGATGGCCAAATTAAACTTATGTCTGAGATTTATCATTTCTGCGGCCATATATCAGCGCCCGAGTGGCAGGCCAATAAAATATGGCACTTGCTTAGGGCCTGGCCAACAGGCAATTACCGATTGCCAAAGCCGCCCAAGCGAAAAGCTGTCGCGAGATTTTGAAAAATTAACAATGTCATGTAGGAATATATACCATATACTCATAGCGCAAAGAGGAAGAGAGATATAGTTGTTTAGTTCCAAACTGTAGATTTATGCCAATTTAAAGAGACAAAACTTGTACTTGTACAGCTGCTGATGCTGATTTATGGCCCCTCGCAACAATGTTTGGCAAAGGGTATCTAGTGCCCAGTCCCAATCCCCGTCCCCGTCCCCGTCCCAGTCCCAGTCCCATTGCCGTTCCCATACCCATACCCCATGCCGCCAACTATTTGAAGCTGGCCATAAATTATGCGTATGATCAAATTGCTACCTTCATGTCGTAGTCGCACAAGTTTTTGTGTTGTGCTTTCAATTAAGTCAATTGATTTTAATTAGACCATGACTTAGACATATTTTTATAAGCATATTCCAAAGAAATTATTATTATTAAACACGCGACCCACCGAGGGGCACATATTCTTAACGAATCTTACCTCGATGTCGGCGCTGTGGTAACTTAATATCAGATAGCAAATACCCTCTACCCATTCAGCTCAATTAATAGGAATTACGAGTAGATGGCCAAGTCGCCGCATAATACACCAGCAGCAGCAGCAGAAGCAGCCGTTGAGTGCCCACATGTAATGCCAACTGGAGGGTAGCTTTGGTTCCAGTTTGAGCTCCTTAATTGGTGACAGAGAAAGACACACACATACAGGGTATTGAGCGGGACTCACATGCGACGTGCTTCAATTGAGGTGATCAACGTTAATTAAAAGCCAACAAAAGACAGTGAAATTGACTCAGCCGGCGGCAACTGTTGTTGGCTCATTAAGTGCTTTACCCGGCCACGCCCACAAGCCGGCGCACTGTACGCCCCACTGAACGATCGAGATGAAAAATTAACATTTCGCGCATCATTAAAATTCCGACAGTAGCCTGGCAAAGGCAGAGGCAGAGGCAATGACTATGACTTGTGGATAGGGAACGGGTGCGGGGAGCTGGAGGGCATCACTGGGGCCATGTGGAAGTAGTATATACATACTCGCGATGGTGTATGCGGTTGACAAATGTCGCAACGTGCTCAATGTATCCATTTCCATTACCATTTGCCTAGTTTCCATCTATTGCTCTGTGATTGCGTCCGTTGTCTGCCTCCATGTTGCAAGTAGCCGCTTCAGCTGTGCCGCAGCCTGTGGCTCATTTGTCGCAGCAGCAGCAGCAGCAGCAGCCGTCGAGAAATGAGTAAAACAAATGCGTCAACACCGAATTTTCATTTGGTTAATGTGTGAAAGCGGACAAAACTAAACAAGAATACGCACACACGCACACACTCGCATGCCTAAGCAGGCATCAGTGAAATAATAACATGAATTTATCAATTTGTCATGTTGATATTTGTTTGGCAATTTATTTTCCACATGCGACATGTGCCCAGAGATCGTTCCGTCCAGTTCCGTTCCGCTTTCCCAGCCGACTTGGGTTTTAGTTTTATTTTTAGGAACTTTCATGTGTGCAACTCGAGGCATATGTAAT